AATGGTATATACAGTGCCATCAGAAGTTTCACAGAAGATCTGAAGTTGAATTAGACAGGAGCGGCAATTTGGTCCGCCGTTTGATCACGCTTGAAGGTGTCTATGAAAAAAATCCTCTCTTAATCAAAATGGAGGTTTTTAGGTCCACTGAATGGTCACCCATCAAAGAGTCAGTTTGTGACACTTCGCACTTATTACTGTACTTCTTAGAATTTGGAGGCCAATCGATATATCGACGAGTCCCTAATGTTATCACAATCAGCGCCTTCTTGTCTGCTCATCAGTGTATGGTGGTGGTGTTTCGCGGAGTGTGGGCCATATTACACCCGAAGTGAGAGCGCAATGCAGCAGTGTGCTGAGGCGTTTTGATGCCGGGAAAAACTTCAAGCGCTCCACGGAACTGCGGCCAGTGTAAAGCTGTACGAGCCGAAATCCATCGAGCGTGGACAAGCGATCTCCTGATACAATGTATTTAGGGACCTCAGGCTCCTGAAAGCACAGTTAAGAATCCTAAGACCTGAGCTACTTCTTTGAAATATTCGAGTTGTATTGGTCGGATTCGCGAGTAGGCACAGATCAACCCCAACGAACGGCATGTCAACTTAGAAACTTCAAAGCCTGCACTATTATTTTGTTTCAGCTGAAAATCGATATTCGATCGAATAAAAGGTGTGGCACGGGTGGCCTCGAGAAAGCTCAATCTTAAGACCCAGTGACCCAACCGGAAATGATAATGGGAATTTTCTTACATATTTCTCCAAACTATTTTCCCCATACATATGTAGAATTTGTTCCCACGAACCCTTGTCTTCGATTTTATCGACGTCTGGAAGCGGGATAATTCGGGAGGCGAGTGCCTTCTGTCGTTCTTGGGCCTTCAACAATTGCTGTTGCTTGAGGTCTTCGGCGGCTTTCATCATAAGGAGTTTCTGGAAAAAAGCTCCTTTTATATACTGTAGAACACGCCCTATCTTATGGCATTATTGCCCAGACTTACCCTAAGCTTCTTCTTTCTTTCTGGCGTAAGGAAACCCTTCTTGGCCTTCTTTTTGCTGCCAGCTTCCTCAAGCCTCTTTCGGACCTCAGCCTTCTTACGCTCTCGCTCTTCAGCCTTACGAGCGGCATCCTGAAAATCGCCATAGAGACAATCGGATCATATGAAATATCCTGAGCTCCATGACTGTGATGAGTAGGAAGACCCACATCAGTGTCGTCCGCTTGTGGGCCGCCAAAGCGGAGTGTCTCGTCGAAGTCTGACATAACTGAAAAGATAGAGTGGAAATAATTATTGATAGATGTGGAAACTTTGCTCGAACAGCCAACAGGACAAGGAGAAGGAGAAAAAAATTGGAACCAGATGTTTCAACTACTAGAGACGAAACGGCGAACGAAAAAATTCCTATGGCTCCTGGGCAACAATTGCAGGTGTCAGCAGTTGGAACTGCTAGAGCTCTGCAGACCTTGAATAATCAAAAGGAAGGGTCCATTCTATCATCCGGGTAGTATTTGTGGATCAAGAACCGCGTGCATAGTCGGCACTGTCGGGAAACAACCCTTAGTTTAATCATGGGTTGCAATGAAGTTGATGAAGTGGTCTCTATCATCGGAATCAGAATGCACAACCGAAACACAAAGCAGAGTGAGCTTTGATGCTTTGTAAGGGGGGGGGGTGGTGGTGGGTTCGGGAGACTACCAAATTATCAACAGAATCCTATAAATTCGGAAGTCATTCGCGTGTGTGGCACATCCTAGATAAGTAAGGTTAGTAAACAACCAACTCTCAAAGCGCATGGGCTGGATTTCTTTCTAAGAAGAAGACGGTAAATATACGGAGAATGGCTCTGGGTAGTTGGGGGGGGGAGGGGAGAAGCAGCATCCGTTCTTCTGAGCTGTTAGCTGAATTACGTTTCCAAAAAACAAACCGGTCTCTTGACGAAGATTCCTAGCAAGTATTCGGGCGAAATAGCAAAGCTGCTATGAACAAATGGAACTGTGAAAAGGCGGGCATTTATGATCGGCAGGTATGCTGCTTGAGAAAAAGAAGGACATGCGTTCTAGAAGGATCTGATGCAAGCTTCGAAACAGCTGTTCACCATGCTCCTGTTTATGACAGAAAGAGAAGGGGGCGAATGACGTACGTGAGGAAACAGCTAAACATCTGGAAATAACTTCAGGTCTAATCAATATATTTTGGTCAACGGTCACATCCGTACCCTACTTTGATGGTAAAGAAACTTGGTTTTTCAATTATCAAGTTGCGAGGCAGGACTAAGCGCAATCAGAAGCTTTCTGAACGATGTTCTCTTTGGTCTGTAGGAAGACCGAGTAAGCCTGGTGTTGCATTCCCGTGCAGAAATCACCTGACAAAAGCGCTGGGGCCTTTTGAAGTAGGCGTTGAAGTTGAAGAGGGGTGCAGCCTGCAATTTTTTTCTTTTGTCAGGCTGTTGTCTGGCGCCCTCTCATCTGTAGCGCTCTCTCGCCTCATACTCTCCTCTCCGCGCTTAGTCTCTCATTCCCTTAGCACAGCCGATTAGGAAGGTGAGTGAGCCCTTAACCTAAGCGTTTTTGACGGATTCTTTTCCTTTTTTTCCATTTTGCCATGCCCAGGATTAAATTGGCGTGATTCTTGCACACAATTGCGAATGTATTGTGTGGAATGTATTGATGTGAAATGGGCCAGTATGCCGGGCACCAAAAGATCCGTATTGGCGTGCAAGAACCACACCAAATTGATCCTGGGGCCTGCCTTTTAGCTGTACTTATTTTCTGACCTATTTTACCAACTTATTCGCCTAATACATGCACTAGTCAACATGGGAAGATGACTACTTCCACATAAAGCTCTTTTCGCCACGTTCACGGTCCATGTACGGGAGTGCGCGAACTTCTACCCTGGCCGAGGTCCATGTACGGTTAGAAAGCGACTTTCCCCCTGGCCCAGCAACTACGTCCTTCGTCCATCGCCGGTATTAGCGTCGACTATTTGTAAAATAGAGGCTCTTGGAAGCCAGCCTAGTCCTGCTCTCGGTCGAGCAGATTATGCAATCCATTATCTCCACGACATCAAACGGATGATAATTGCATGGCGCATACCACAGGTTAAGTAACGTGGCACGCCCTACTCTTTGGAACACAATCAGTCAAAGTTACTGTACCTTGACCCACTAGTTTTCGTTTGAAGCAGGTGAATCGAACACTAATACCGAAGAATTATCAAGAACTCCATCGATTTGGGCAAGTTAGCCACCAACTCGAAATCTCTGCTTAGCAAAGATACCTGTCAATAGTCCAGAGTCCGGCTGTCCAGATATACTTTATCAATCCTAGAAGATAACACAGAAAAGGGACAACACCTGTTAAGTGGGCGTGGTATACATAGGAGAACACATGCCGCCGCCCACATCTTTTACATTGCTTTGCGCTCTCTTGAGGGTGTTGAAGGGTCAGTTCAGGGACAAGGGTTTCAAGAAAGTTCGAAAAAGGAATTTTTCGGAATTCCGCAGTGCAGCCTTGAAATGGTCGAGATGGCGCTTCATTCTTATCAACTTTCGCTCAAGAGGTCGCGAAGGTTAGTGTGACCAGATCGGAGTAGTTCTGAGATTTTATGGGTATTCTTACTCTTCGCCCAGTGCCTGCCTCCATTGAGTGAGTTTTAACAGGTCAGTCATTAGGACAGATTACAAAAATAAGAAAAATTGGAAATAATAAGTCGAACTTTTTACAGCGATCAGTGGCAGATGCCGGGTTTCCGAGAGCTTAGAGACTTCAGTTACACTGCCATGAAGCCGGGATACCCTTCCATCGCTGAATTATTCGACGACTACTTGATTACCTTTCAGGATTATAGGGTTCTGGGTAATTATCCAAGTAACATCCAGGTATGGGTATGCATGAATATATTTAAAATTCGATAGCAGGATCGTCAAAGATTTATTGTAAATAAGGAAATTGGGCGCTATCGCAAAATACGGGGGCATTGTAGTGGCAATGCATTTTAAGTTGCGTAAAACATCTCCTTTCTCTCAGAATTGGACTAAGCCTTAGGAAGGGAAAAAGAGACTCTAGATTGAGAAGAATTTTTTCATTTACCCGATGATCCTGCCCTCCTGAGTTTAATCCTAGACGATGCCCCGTATCTTGCGATGGGCCAGAAATTGTAACAGCTAGTTGTACCATTAAAGGGACCAGTATCTTGGGGATTTTCAGAAAGAGTAAATTATAAGATTGAGCGATTTTAAGAAAAGATTGTATAAGGGGTGAGAGGGGTACATGAAGGGATTACAGAAAAGGGACCGAAGAGTTGTAGATGACTCATGGATTAAAATGCCAGAAAGTATGTGTGGTTGTATGTGGCGAGTGAAGGCGAATGTGAGGGTCGGCAGAGGGCTGCCGGCAGCGGTGGCGACGTCGACGGCACAAGGCAGCAGTCAGCGCTGTAAAGCGCGGGTTGTGCGGCCCACGCACTAGGAATAGTTGAGAGTCGGCGAGCTGGGAGAAATCTCAGAATCCCAATCATTAAGCTGATCTAGAGCCCGAGTCTGCACTAAGAAACCAATTTCCGATTTCCGTGTCAGATTTCCGAATTTGACCAAGAGAAGAATCTAAGAAAACTGGTAAAGACATACCTGGACTAGAATTTCCTGAGAATGAAACTAGGGAACAAATGGCCACCCACTTCGCTCTGATGAATTATTGGGTGGAGGCCTATATAAACACCTAATGCTGTACAAAAAGCCAAGAAAATATGTCAAGCCTCCTGAGAAGTGATGGCTCGATATCCGGGCAAAGAGAGAAGGGTGTTTCGAGGGCGGTCTTTTATTAAACTGCAACATCCTGAGCCTCAGTTGATGACAAGAAAACATCGTAGAGCTCGGGCTCTGCCTAGGTTAGCCTTCAAAACGAAAGGTGATGATTTGTGCTTTTGATCCTTTCAAGGCGTTTCGCCTGCCATAAGATTTGTTTCAAAGCAACTTCATCAATATGGCCTTAATTAAAGGCAGAATTTACGATGAAAAGTTAGCTCATTGGAAATAAGGGTAGAGGTGGTCAGTGGAGCAGGGATGAAGAAGAAACCATTTGAAACGGCCCGAAACCCGAGAAATGGGACCCCTTCCTTGCCCGTTGATTTGCGCATTGATGCGACTCTCATCGCTGTGCCCTCTTCAACACTACGCTCTCTCTGCTATCTAATCACTCGTATAGACCTGCGGCGAGTGATTAGATAGTCGGTGGGCGTACCCCGCCAACCGCGCCAAGAGAGCCATGCTAGATCGCCGAGGTCAAATCTTTCGCTGCCAATTGCGCGTCGGTCAGCACCCTCAGGAGGTCCGCCTGTCTCCCAACTATGCAATTTTCCCCTTCTTTGACCTTCGTTCTTATCGTGAATTCCTCCTCTAAAAACGTCCTTGTGATGACCATTGGAATGGAACGGCTACTGAATATCTCCCGCTAGGCGTCAAGTAAACATCAGGAGGACCGCAGGACGGAAGGCCAGACTTCTACGAGAATTTCTGCACGAGATATTCGAGGTTGGCTACAAGTGTCCAACTTTCGAGCGAGGAGAATCCACAGGAGAAGTCCTGCCGCTTTCCCGAGGAATTTGATGAATAGCGGGTTCAGGTTATGAAGATCACAGGATCATCTGGTTTTTTGTGGCTTTCAGAGAATCTTGTCGCTGTGCGCAACTGATTATCCAAAATTACACCCACGCTTCAGATCTAAATATGCAGCTCTCATCGACTAATAAGGTATCGTGCGCCAGCAATCATATCTGTTGACACGGGCGGTGCTTATGGGAGTCCTTATGACTTCTTCGCGCGACCACCCAAGCTACCAGCTACGTATTCATTGTGCCGAAGAAGGCTGCTTGATAAGATTAATCTTACCAGCAACCGTTGCCCAACAGTGTGGTGGCGGAAAGACTGGCAAATCTTCTCTCGGCCCGATTCCGACCAGCCGCTCCACTTCACTCCCTCCTAGCGGATTTTCAAGTGAGTATTGTCAGCTCACACTCTCCTACGTTCTGACTACGGGCTGAACGGTCCTAAGTGGAGTCGTCTGAAGGGAAATTGCAGCCGTTGCGACCAACGACCCGACACCTGCTGGGACTATTGCTTGAAGGAAGTGCAGTTCAACAGTCTTATCGTTGCCTGGACGCACCTTGCCCTTACGTTACAGTGGGAATTGAAGACCACATGAATAGGGTCATCTGATGGCCTAAACCCACCCAGCCGACTTGTGCACGGTGCAAACCCGATTCC